GGCGCGTGACCGCGATACCAAACGGCGCGTTGGTGACGCTCACGTCGTACGTGCGGTTGAACGTATGGCCCGACGGCTTGAGGCCGTGGAGCTTGATCGGGACTTCGTAGCGCGCAAACTTCGGGTCCGTGATGCGCACGCGCACATAGTTCTTGTGCTCCGTGTTGACGTTGAGCGCCAAGGTGCGAATGTCGTTGCCAAACGGACCGCGCGCACCCTTGGGCAAGACGAGCGTGGCCGTGAAGCCCTTGGCCGTCTCGCGCCACGACGACTCGTTGAGGCGGTAGCCCTCAAAAGCCGGCTGGAAGCACTCGGCCGACGACGCGTCAAAGCAGCAGCCCATGGCCGCGCACACGTCCGACGAGTTGGCCGAGGGAAAGTAGCGCGGGTTGCGGCACGCCATGCGCGACGACTTGACGACCGCGCTGCAGGCCGACGGTGCCGGCGTCGCGAGACCGCCAAATGCGCACGGCACATCGTCCTTCGGGTCCCAGCAGCAGCCTTGGGCCAGGCACGACTCGGCGGTCGCGTTGGGAAAGGCGGCCGTCGGCGGGTAGCAGTCGATGCGGTTCGTGGGCACGCGCGCGCACATGCTGGTTGGGTCCTCGACCAAGGCGGCGGCGGCGCCGACGAGGCCAACGACAAGGAGGCGCTGCAGCATCAGAGGGTGGAGCTACGGGCGACCAGGCAAATTCGAGACTGGCTGGCGATCGAAGCCTTTGCAATCTTTGGCCGTGCGATGCCATTGGTCGAAAACCAACGGAGCCATCTGTGATTGGCGCAGGGATGATTCACGTCGTTGGAATATTAATATGCCGTATATGCCTTATGTTTGTATGAAACATTGCGCGGGTCTTAAAATAAAATACGTCCTTGAAGTTCCGACCACCTGTCGAGTTGATTTTGCGAGCCACCCAACCGCTGGATATCAAGCTCAAGATTTCAGTGGGTGTGGATGCCAGCCTCGTCGCCATACCAGCGCCTTCGCATGGGCGGCCGCGACCAAATGCACGGCGCAATATGGGCTGCCACCTGGGCCACTTGATTTCTGGCATAAATCCAGTGGAACCATGTGGCATCAGCCGTAGAGACTGCGCGAGAAAACGGAGGCGTGCGACGCCTCGCGGAAAATAGACCTCGTCACCACCCCTGCGACTAGTTGCACTTTGTTGGGCATGGTCCAGAAAGTGCGAGGCGCGTCCATGGGATGGGATGCACAGGAAAAGACGTGGACGTGCAAGTGCAAGTGCCACCTGGGTGCACCTTGCCGTTCGCACCACGCGGGTGGAAATCCAGTTGAAATATGGTTGGCATGGCGCACAGACACCGTGGCGTGGATCTGCCCTTTCTACGTCCGTCGCCACTGACGTGTGGATGGCGTTTACACGACTCGTGTCGCACCTCTCTTCGTCGTTTTGGAAGGAGCGTGGTACTGACGACGGTCGAATTGTATGGTGGCGGTACACTCGCGCATGCAGTACATCCCAAGGTACATCCCAAGGTCGCCATGATATCGCCGCGCTCGGATACAGGAATGACATTGCGCGGTCTGCGATACCTCGGAGCGCGGTTCTTTTGAGGTGGGGAAGTGCAAGGTGAACTTCAAGTTGCAACTTCAAGCGACGTGCACCCAAGAACGGCCTTCGCATCGCCGCGTCCAGCCGTCGCAAGCGTCGTGGCCAGACGCAAAGGCATGCGCTGTCCGTGTTGCCGACAAGGAAGCGGCACGCGCCGCCCGCCGTGGCGCGTGTAGGACTCGACTTATACCGTGGTATCGTCTCCCAGCGTCAGGTGCCGACTGCTCTACTTTTGTCACCGCCCGCGCGTCGGCCTATGCGGCTTGGTTCCCGTTGACGCACGTCTTGCTCGGACTGCATGTCAGCGTGTGAGAGGAACCAGCCATCGCAGACAGGACTCGTCCGCAGCCTTCACTGCAACCACTCGATTGTATCGCGTCAAGGGCTCTTGACGAGCTTTTGACGGGCCCTTCGTACAGTGCATGCCCATCGTCGACGCAACGGCGACAGGGCGCCCTCCATGGAGGCGCTTCCAGCGCACACGATTCAAAAATTATATCGAGCTTGCCACTGAATACACAGGTGCGTGATCGCCGCAACGAGATACGTCGGTGCTCTTGTGCTCGACAAGCGTGCCAAAGGAGCCGATCGATATTTATCCGGATGATGCACCGATTAACCGGACAAATACGATCTTATTGGCCGTGGTCTGCTTCATTGGCAACGAAAAAGGGCATCATGGGGCGCGTCCAGCGCAGAGGCACAATGTTCAAACGTGACGGCCGACTTTACTTGAGTCTTGTTTTGATAGACCAAATGCCACGTTAGCATCCAGCGACGTGCACTCCGCGAGCGTGTGGTGGCTCTTGAAAGAATGACATTTGGAGTTGGTCCAAGACGACGACACCCGAGACAAAGGCAGCAATCTGCTACATGAAAATATCAACATGCGGCGTGTGGGTTCGTCCTGGAATGACGTTTTTAGCAAACAATCACAAAAAGTGTATTTTCACTGTTTTCTATTCTGTCCGATAAGTCCATGTACCAACGCAGACGTGTGCAAGCTATTAAAGCGCTTCGCGATGCCACGTCATTGCTTTTCGAAAGGGTATCTTTTCAGCTTGATACATTCGTCGCAAGTCAAATTCATATATATAATTGTCGTGATGCGACAAGTGTCGATCCTAGTGTCAGAGCCACGTTGCTAGGGTGCGCATATGAGTAGTGCACACCACCAGCTCTACTGGGACGCCATGAGGCCTTGGAAGAGCCGTGTCGTGTTGCAGATCGATGTGGTTGCGACGACAAACTCAAACTGGGTCTGCGATCGGTTCAAGAACCGGTACGCTGCGAGCTCGGCATACGCCACGCCGCCCAGATAGTAGACGAGCACTCTCTGGGGCGGGCCGGGTTTGGGCGTACCGGTTGGTAATGGCAGCGCGCTCACTTGATGCATGCCGCTGGCCACTTGGACGCGCCGGACGCTCAGCGGCGCGTACCCGATCGTGGGAAACATGCCCCAAATGTCGCGCGGCTGCAAGACGTCTTCGATCGCGCTGCCCTTGAGGAGGTCCATGGACTTGCGCAATTTCGACCACTTCCAGTTCGCGTGGCCACCTCTGGGCACGAGCCACTGCAACGACGCGCTGAGACTCGAGAGCAGCGGGAGGACGGCATGGCCGTACGTATGGCAGAGCTGCTGCTGGCGCGTGTCAAAGATCTTTTTGTCGGGACCGCCCAGCACGAGAGCGTGGAGACAGAGCAGTTTGAGCATCTTGGAGAGCTCGAGCGGTGGGTCGCGGAGCAAGCCTTCTTCGATCATCGCGTCAATGTCTTTTGGCTTGCCGAGACCCATGATGCTCTGCTCGATCTCGACGCAGCGCTTGAGCGCTTTGTGGTCGTCACTGCTGGCCTGCGTCATCGCCGCCACGAGGTCCAAGTGCAAACTCACGGCCTGCTTGGTTTGGACGAGGGACCCGAGCTTCTTCGCGAGCTCGGTCGCCGGCGTGAGCTGTTTGTCGTCGCGAAGACCCGCCGCAATCGCCGGCAACCGGGACGTGACCAAATGATCAAAGTCGAGGTCCCGGATCGACGCGTAGAACTCGTCGTTTGCCGACAGCATGTGCTTCGCGCCGTTGACAGTGACAACGCCATGGTTCATCCCCAGCACTGCATCCAATAGCCCTAGTACGCAGCGTTAATACACGGATATATATAGCAATATACCTTCGTAATGGAGTGGCGTCACGAGCAGCGTGATCGGGTCCTCGGTGCGATCGATGAGGATGCACTGGTCGAATGGCGCGGCCGACGCGAGCGGCGGCGCCTTGGACTGGACGCTCTCGTAGAGGATCTTGGCGCTCTCGGCGACGGCGCCAAGCGCTTGCATACTCGTCGCGCGCGTGAGGCCGAGCTCGAGGAGGCTCTTGACAACCTCGGTCACGAGGCTTTGGTCTTTCTCGACGAAGAGTGTTTGAAAATCGTTTTCGCGGCAGAGACTCCACACGTTCTCTTCGCACGGCAGCAAGTAGAGCGGCAGATCGACCTCGGAGACGAGGTGCTTGAGGCCTTGCCGCTCCATCTCGAGCTCGACAGCCGTCGAACAAGATGGGACCCACGCGACCGTCATGGCCAGCGATGGGTGCGCGCTATACAGCTCGCGCAAGAGCGTCACGTTGGTCGCTTGTGGCCGCAAGAGCAGAAAGACGCAGGCGTCGAGAAGGCTCGCGCGCGGGAGCGGCCGCTCGAGGAGGAGGATGCGGGACACCTGCTGGCGCTCGAAGAAGGCCTTGCCGCCGACGCCGCAGGCCATGACGTCGAGAAGCGCACGAAAGGATGCGTCCGCGATGAGCGTCTTCTTGCCCGGGTACGCGTCCAGCGCGGCGCCGAGCGCGGCCGTCGCCGTCGCCTTGAGCGCTGCGTCCGTCATCTGTTCTTGTTGTTCGATCGACGAATACGCCAACAACGTATAGATTTGCATATCAAATGCTAGAGGTTTACATTCGAGCAGCCCCGCAACAATCGTCCGCAACCAAAGAAGCTGTCACGACGGCACACGTTGCCGGTAAGCTTAGTCTGTTGCCGGTAGTACCAGGTAGAGTGGCTGCAGAGCACCGTACGGTCTCGCTTCAGGAACGTTCTGGGGTCGCTTGAGTTGCGGACGAGATGTGGGTTCAGCGCTTGAAGATCGCAAAACGAAAAAACGTGGCAGTTTCTCGTGCCTGGACACCTGGAAAGGGTCACAACCAGCCGCCGTGGCCGTGACGACCTGAACCAAATACGCTCGTGCACTTTTTAACGCACATGCGCTACACCCATGCCATGCGGCTGCACCGTGCAACACGCCCGACGGCTTCGACGAGGTCGCCGACTGAACGGATGTAACCTTCGCCACGACGGACGAGATATCCCTCTTCGAGCCTGTCTGTACTTTGATACATGCGTCTCGCAGGGTGGATGCTACTTGGCGTCGTCGCGACGACCATGGCGTTGAACGCCACGCAGCCGCCGGCAGTGGCGCGCGATCCAAACATCACAGCAGTCGCCACGAAGTTACCGGGAGTGCCATCGACGCCTCTACCTACGACGGTGCGACTACCTACGACGGAGAGCCTACCAGCGACCGCCGCGATCGAGTTTCCATTGACGCCCAGCGTGCCCTCGACCAACCCGGTCGCGAGTCGTACGCTTCTTCGACGTTGCATATTGTTGCGCTCATGCGACGTGGTATAGCCACCTCCAACGACACACAAGGGACGACGGCAGCACTCGCGTTGGCGATTACATGCCCGGTCGTCGTGGGCATCGTCGTGCTGTACATGATGCTTGTCAAGCGCTGCTGCGGTCCGCTGCATGTCGAGCCGAGCCCGCTCGGTCACTTGCATACCTTGTCGTCGGACAGCTATGAGCTCACGACGCGCGAGACTGTGGTGCCGCAGTTGGACGCGCGGCAGCTACGGCTCGTGCGCCTTTTGGCCCCGCCCAGCGACAGCTTTCAAGTGTACTTTGGCACGTACTATGCAGGGAATGGCTCACTGGACGTGGCGGTCAAGCGCCTGACGCCGTGGCGGCAAACAGACCACGAGTTTGTGCTGCAGTTCATCGAGCACATCCACCTGCTGTCTCGGTATACTTGTGCAAGCATCGATTTTTGAAGGGGTAGGGTTAAGAGGTCTGCCATAGATTGCGGCACGCCAACATCGTTGCGGTCGTCGGTGTCGTGTGGCACCACCAGTTCAACGCGGAAGTCGCTTTCGAGTTCTTGTCCCAAGGGTCGCTACGCGATCTCCTCACAACGACGAATCCGCTCACGGTAGCCTGGCCCGACAAGAAACACCAGCTCGCCTTGGATGTGCTCTTGGGGCTCGTACGTGCTTTCGATGCGACCAAGGCCCCATTTGAGTTGGCATTTTGCCTTGTAGACATATTTGCACAGCCAAGATGTCCTCCACCAGCAACTCACGATGGACGCCGTGCTTTTGACCACGTCGGTCCACCGCGTCACGGCCAAAATCGCCAGCATTCCGTTTCAACGCGATGATTGTCTGTTCTCGCGCACGTCAGCATCGTCGTCCGTCTCGTCGTCCTCGTCCCGCTGGAGCGACGTCTTGCGTCAAACTACGACATACGTCAGTTGTCGCATCTCACAGTCGCCTCAAACCGAGCTCAAGACGTGGGTCGCGCCCGAGGTTCTACGCGGCGAGAAGCCGACGGCGGCCAGTGACATGTACTCGTTTGGTGTCCTCCTCTCGGTCCTCGACTCGCACGAAGACCCGTACAAGCACCATTTAGCCCAGATGGACAATGACATTCTGCTGCAGCGCATTAGCCACGGCACGCTGCGGCCGACGCTCTCTGTACTGTGTCCGCCGGGCATCACCGAGCTCGCGCTCGCGTGTTTGGAAAGCAATCCGCTGGACCGTCCGACGGGCGCGAGGGCCATCGCGTACCTCGAAGCACCGCCGACGTCGTTTACGAGTTCGCGCAGTGTGTCGATGCGACAGAGCCCGACCATTGTTTTGTAAATTAACGTCTATGAGACATTTTTGGTGTCGTAATGCTAGACTCAAGTGCAATGTCCAAGAGGACAATGTGTGCCAACATGTGAAACGTCCAACGACCAAGCGAGGATTCCTCGAGCGCCGTCCAATCAAATAAGATCTTGGTTCATGCAGCAAACCACCAATAGGCCGGAGGGTGGGCTACCGGTACGCTCATCCTGCACCGCGACCTCCAGGCGCCGCCTCAGGCACTGGCGTCTCTCGAAGACCTCAAGAAACTGCGTAACTTTACCGCCGACAGCGAAACGTGGAAGGCCTCTACGAAGCGTTGCGGCATGGGCCTCGCTCGCGGCCACTAGCGCCCCCGGGCGACCACAGACGAGCAAGACGAGCCGCCGCCTGCGCACCCACGGCCCGTCGAGCGAATGAAGAAGGAGATTGCTAGTCTCTACGTTTGAAAAGTCTTTGTAATGAAGATAGCATATCTATATATGTACTAATATACATATACACCTTGTCCACGTCGGAAATGGCTTCTGGTGATCAGTTGTCATGCGGTTGTCGCCTGCCTGTGTCCGGTTTCATGCCAATCATCCGGATAAATAGCTCTGACATTTAATTTGACCGGACACGACTGCCTCGATTTGCGTCCAGCGTGTGATGGACGTACGCCCGGATGCGTCGTGGCCGCGCTGACGCGTCTGCGTAGCGAGCCGCTGGAAGAGCCTTTTGCCATCTCGCCGGTCGTGGCAACGAGAGTGACGTGGCGCGCCTACTCCGTAGCGGTGCAAGCCCAAGCTGGCGAGACGACAAGGTAGGCACAAGGTACACACGCGTGCAGCGCTGACGCGTACGGCAGGATGGCTGGACACCACTGTACGCTGCGTCGCGAGGCGGGCACGACGGCGTGGTGCGACTCTTGCTCGATGCTGGCGCCCTGGTCGACCAAGCCGACTCGGTACTACACGTGTTGGATCGCAACCGCGGTCCTGACCATGATCTACAGGATGGACGGACGCCATTGTACATCGCATCGGCGCAAGGGCATGAAGCCGTTGTACAACGCTTGCTACGCGCGGGTGCCGATGTCAACCAGAGCGACAACGTAGACCACCCCGCTCTCTTGGTGGGATGCTCAATACATGTGGAATCTAGAAGGGAGAAACAGCCCTCTTCGCAGTAGCCTTCCAAGGGCTCGAGGCCGTGATGCAACTTGTCCTGGACGCGGGCGCCGACGTCCAGAGTGCAACGGTCGTATGTCTCCGCTTTCGATAGGCGGGTTGCCACTGGCTGCGATAGGACGGGTACACGGCCTTGTACGCTGCTTGCAACCAAGGACAGGACGCGGCGGTGGACATGCTCTTGAACGCTGGCGCCCGCGTCAACGCAGCCGCCAAAGTACGTTGAAAGATTGATAGTCGGCTGCGTATTGACGCGATAGTTAGAACGGCGTGACGCCTCTGTACACAGCGACCAACACGGGTCGCACGGCCATCGTACGCCGCCTCCTCGACGCTGGCGCCGACGCCAATCAAGCGACCTCCGTACGCCTCGACGCATATGCTGCTCGTGTCAATGATGCGGATCTTGCAATAGAATGGAAGATGGCCTCTCTTCATCGCGTCGGTTGCCGGCCACGAGGCCATCGTGCGACTTCTCCTTGACGCTGGCGCGGTTGCCGATAAACTGTACAAGGTAGAAGTCACGTACTAGAACTGAACCAACCTGGAGATGATCTCTAGGACGGCCAAACACCCGAATATGCTGTCGCGCTCCACAAAGGCCATCGCGTCATCGCAGATCTACTGGGCGAATCGTCAGAGCTCGTTGCGGCCGTGCAACGTAGGGACACAGTGCGCCTCCAAGCGCTTTTATCCAAAGGGACATCGCCCAACCTCTCAAGCAAGGCACGCCATTCGTTATGTGTGAGGTGACTCAAGTGACTAGGCTGGTGACACGCTGCTGCACATTGCCGTCAGCAACCATCATGGACTCAGCTCCAAGGCGCAGCGAGCGACCGTGGATGTTGCTACCAACAACAACGGCGATGCGTACGCACTACTGGAGACGCTTCTGGCGACGCCTGGCATCGATGTCACCCGGCGCAATCATGTGAATGCGTTGGTGGTTAAATGACGGCTGATTTTGGTCGTAGCTGGGACAGACGGCGCTCTGGGTCGCGTCCAAGGACGGTTATGACGTGATTGTCCACTTGCTTATCGACAACAAAGCCAATGTTAACCAACCGGACGAGGTACGATCTGAAGCTCACGCCAGCATATCCTTGGCTTTGATTATAATAGCTAGGGCACACGCCGCTCTCGATCGCGGTGGAGAACGGCCATTTCGATGTTGTCAAGCTCCTCCTCGACAAAGATGCCGATGTCAACTATGCGATGAAGGTATGTACAGATTGTACATGGGATATTGAAACGTTGGGGGTGATTCATGGATGAAATAGGGGGTCGCCACACCCCTGTACATTGCCAAAAAGAAGGGATATACCGACATTGTGACGTTGCTCACGGACGCGGAAGCCACGGCCAAGCTGCGTCCGCCACCTGCGCACATCATCAACCAGATTGGTGTGCAGATCAACGGAAACAACGCCATCAACAAGGGCACTGTCAACGAAAAGCGCCCGACGACCTAAACTGCTATACCAAGTGATGGAAATATCACCTTCACAACTGCGCCTCTTACCTGTGACCATATCGCGGCTCGGAGCGGGTTGGTCTCTCAGGCGGTGCCAGAATGATAGTCCGGTTAAAACATAGTGTCCGGATGATTGCCGTGAGCATCGACGACATATCAAATGCTGAATGCGATGGAGTCTTCCATTCACCTAGGTTGTCCGCTTCACCATAGTGATTGCGGATCACCCAGGCGGCTATCGCAGTCCAAGATATAGCACTTGCCATTATCACCAACCTGCTGCCGTTATTTTAATAGCCAGCTCTGGACATGCATCCGGATGTTTGCTACGTTATATCCGGATCCACGAAAGCGGTAATGGCAGTGTCGCAAATGGGCGTGGCGGACGAGGTCCGCGGGACGAAGCGCCGACGCCTCGAAACCAATGGCTCAGCCGACGCAGCGACAGCTTTCGCGCATGTGACGGCGGTAGCTTCACTGGCCACGACAGAGCTTGTCCCGCCTAGCGTGACCAGCGCCAGGCCGGCCGTGCCAAACCGCGTTGTGGCGCCGGCCGATGGCGCACGCCAAGGAACTGCATCAGCAAGAAAGCCGACCAAGGCCAAGCGACCCAAGGCTCCCATACTGGTAGATCTCGGCTGTCGTATGAGGCGATAATCGTCGGTCTTGTTTGCAGGTCGACATGGCGGCGCTCGGTGGACCGTCGACGGCCTCCCTTCTCACGCGGCTCGAGAAGGTCGAAGCGACGCTCGACACGGTTCTAAATGACCTCTTCCGGAAGCTCCCGACGCTCGTCGCCGACGCTGTGCAGACCAAAGTGACGGCCCAGGGCTCGGCCCAGCTTGACGGCGTGTTTCACGACTTGCGCAGCACGGTCGAGACGTGCATGCAAGAGGCGCTGCAGAAACTTCGCCCGGAATTTACTGCGCCCGCGGCCGCTACTGCACCGGTGCCAGCTTCAGCGGCACCGCCCTTGTCCTTGTCGACGCCGACTCAGACTCTACCGCCGCCCTCCTCGGTACCGCGGTTTGAGTGGGGTGGGCGTCTCCACCCGGTGCCGCACGACTTTATGCTACCCAAGATGACGGTCTTGCACCTGTGGCGCGCGTGGTTTAGCGGCGCTCCAGACTGCGGCATGGTGCCGCTGCAGCAGCTCTCGACGCGCAACCTACCGGTACCTGCCGACGCGGCCCGGTTCTCCAAGGCGCGCCGGGTCGTCGCCTTCATTGCATCGAGCGGCGGTGCGCCGAGCCTCGTCAAGTTGGCCACGTCCGAGGCGTTGGCGCGCGAGAACGTGTTTGAAATCGGCTGTCGCCGCGCGGCCGTGAAATTTCGCGCCTTTTCTGCAAACCCGGACGCGGCGCTGCGCACGTTCCAGGACCTGAGCTACACGACGTGCTACGACGCCATTCGAAAGCTAGAAAAGGCCGATGCTCCTTTGGAAAAAGAGTAGTATGTACAACATGATTACATGCGACTAGAGTTGATACTTCTGCGCGCGAAGATGGCCAAAGGAACACCCTTGACGATGACAGCTCATCGT